TTCCTCCCCTTCCGCTCTGCTTCGCCAGCAAAGTGGGGAGCATGCGCAGTAGTGCCTGTGACAGACGCACACACGCACCGAGTTTTTTTAATAACAGTAGGGGATTTTGGAATTGTGAAGTTAACGTATTACATTTGNAACACACTTAAAATGATTTCAAGTCACCGTTATGTTTATTTAAGTAAGTATTTTGGAATTGTGAAGTTAACGTATTACATTTAGTAATTGAGTTAAATGTAGTATTGCTTATTGGGCTCACACAAAATATGATTTTTATACGTAAGGGTTTTAAAGTTGCAAGTTGAAGGAGTCTGTGTGTTGCTCTGTCTGAAGGAGTTGGGTAAGCAGTTCTAACATTCCGGTAAATCGTATTGTTTGCGTTGTAACAGAAACGTGAAATAAAAATATAAAAATTGTGTTTCAGTAAGAAATTAAAATGCAAAATTTAAAAATAAAATCACAAAATTAATTGTGTAAATTAAAAGTTCACAGTCTTTGGAAACAAAGTGTTTAACTTCTGGTGGCAAAGTTGTAACAGAAACTCAGGTTGATAATGAAAACTGAGGGTTTTGTTTGGGCGGTAAACAGAAAAGAAGAGGAGGCAAAGGTTTAAAGGTCGTGAAGAGGGTGCTTTTTGCAAAAGGTGTTTTTTGTAATTAATACTAGCAGAGAATTTAGGTTGCGACTAAAGACTGATTAGTGACAGTGTCGGTACACGCGTGGTGATACTTGATGGCTTTTGTTATAAATTTAGATTGCACTAAGCAAACGTTCACAAGCTACTGCAGTTTACACAAGTTAAGAGGAGGTGAAATGTTAAGCATTTGACTATTTATTTGTAATGGGGAACATTATCAAGTAAACAACATTATTGCATTTCAAAACGTAACGATTGGGTCTTGGTGGTTTTGAGGATCAGGAGATCACCAGAAGACAACAATGGCGACGACAATCAGATAAAGAGGAAAAAAGAAGACAAGAAGAGAATTCAAAATGTGAATCATGTAATTATTGAGAATAAGGGTTTGACTGTTCAGTTGGAGAAGTAGAGAGAAAGAGAAGTACCACTTTCACCAGTAGCTCTGGTTTGCTGATTTGTCATGATGATTGTTTCGGTCTTAATGTGCCAGTGTGTGTGGAAAGTGTGTCAGTGTGCTGCCCCTTTCAAAGGGAAAAAAGGAGCCTTGCCAAAGTGTTTTTTGTGAGTGTGAAAGGTTGTGTGAAGTGATGGACTCGTCTCTGTCGGCCTGACGACTGAAGACTCAAGCAAAAGTGCGCGTGTTCAACAACAGCAATGTCAACCCCTTGCTTGGTTCAAACAGCCACGGCGCTGTTCTCATAGGGCGGCGGAAAGGGAATGACACCGCCCGGGCCGGGCAGCCCGGACATCTTCACCGCCTCCTGCTTGTTCAGCTGTCCGACGAAGTAGGCGTCAATCTCGCGAGCCGCCTGGCGACCTTCGTTGATGGCGTGCACCACCAGCGACTGACCGCGGCGACAGTCGCCGGCGGAGTAGATGCGCTCAATGGGCGTTCGGTACGTACCGGGCTTCGTCAGAATGTTCGACCGGCCGTCCTTGGTCAGATTCAGCTGGTCGATGATGCTCGACTCAGGGCCGAGGAAGCCCATGGCGAGGAGGACCAGATCAGCCTGAGGTGCGCACAAAAAGAATGTTTAGTTATCAGAACAAAGTTATCAGCACTGTACTGTTACCTTAAAGGTTTCCTCAGTGAAGGGAATCTCCGACATAACCCAGGCGCCCTTCTCGTTCTTCTCCCATTTGACGCGAACGGTGGTGATGGCGGAGACGTGGCCGTTCTCGTCGGCGATGAACTCCTTCGAGGAGATGCCGTAGATGCGCGGGTCCTTGTTCCACTTCAGATTGGCCTCCTCGTGACCATAGTCGATGCGGTAGATGCGCGGCCACTGCGGCCAAGGATTGTCCTCCGGTCGCTCGTTGGCCGGCTGGGGCAAAATCTCGAAGGCGACCACATTTTTGGCACCCTGCAAAGGAATACATATGCGTTGTTTAAAAATACTAAAACTTAACAAAACTTTGTTTGTACCTGACGAATGGATGTGCCAATGCAATCGCAGCCGGTGTCGCCGCCGCCAATGACAATGACATTCTTGTCCTTTGCCGTGATGGGAAACTCATCGGCGTGANCACTGTACTGTTACCTTAAAGGTTTCCTCAGTGAAGGGAATCTCCGACATGACCCAGGCGCCCTTCTCATTTTTCTCCCACTTGACGCGAACGGTGGTGATGGCGGAGACGTGGCCGTTCTCGTCGGCGATGAACTCCTTCGAGGAGATGCCGTAGATGCGCGGGTCCTTGTTCCACTTCAGATTGGCCTCCTCGTGACCATAGTCGATGCGGTAGATGCGCGGCCACTGCGGCCAAGGATTGTCCTCCGGTCGCTCGTTGGCCGGCTGGGGCAAAATCTCGAAGGCGACCACGTTTTTGGCACCCTGCAAAGGAATACATATGCGTTGTTTAAAAGTACTAAAACTTAACAAAACTTTGTTTGTACCTGACGAATGGATGTGCCAATGCAATCGCAACCGGTGTCGCCGCCGCCAATGACAATGACATTCTTGTCCTTCGCCGTGATGGGAAACTCATCGGCGTGGGCATTCTCCCACAGTTTCTGCTGGGACGACTTGAGGAAGCTGACGGCGA